TTCCGGTGGTCACCGAATCGATTGGGTATCTATGTATGTTGCGCACCTTAGATGTTTTAATCCGTCTAAAGGGCGTATTATCCGGACGAACTGGACTCTGCCCCTAAAGGGTTGGTTAGCTAAAGGCTTTAGTTGTGGATTCCCCAAGAAAATTCGCCTGATTTGGTCTGGATAACCCGGCAGGATAAATTGCTAGTCAGTGTTTACCCTTCCCAGCAGCATGGTATCCTTTGGAGATTTGAGCCCCGATGGTGCGGAAGAGCCTTCCTAGGCCTTTGATTCCTGCGGTGGCCTTCATTTTACCTGACATGCGTGACTAATACCTCGTCTAATTCATGGTGGTGAAGTGAGTGACTTTCCACCGAAAGGTACGAGCTTCAGGGGATCTACGGAGTCGTGTGTCTCATGCCTTATTAGAAGCGTTTCTTCGGAGATATAGTCTTTGTGCTATCGTGTCGCCCTCCCTAGGTGTTCCAGCGCCGCTTCCTGAATGTATGTCCTAATCGTTGTCCACCGCATCGTTGGTTTGCACATTCGTGATAAGCTTGTTAGCTATTGACAGGCTTTGGGCTCTTTTCCAGTTGTGGGGATCCGTATAATTGATTCTAGTCCCGAGGCGAGATTTTCACCCAGTTTTCGGATGTACTTAGAGGTGACCGTCTACGAGGTTATGATCAGCGCCATTTGCATTTTCAGTTCCGGTGCCGCGATAAGTTTGACAGCTTTCGATCGTAAACACCCATTGTCATCATAATCATCATCATCATTGTACAGCGTAATACAGTGAAGCAAACTTCACTGATCGCTGCCAAACATCCAGCGGGATCGAACTGGTATATTGTCGATCTATTGCGGTCTTTTGCTGTCATTTGAGTACGATGTCATCAGATGTCTCCTCGGAAAGTGTGTTTTGGAAACGGTCAACCGTTTTGAGTCAGCCAACGTAAATAGACGTTCGCCATTCTCACATGGGTGGCCAAGATCAAACCTCCCCAGGGTATCGGGTTTTATTATCCGATGGTCTTGTGCCAACGCTCCAATTCCCTGCACTGAGAAAGATGTCGCATCTGGGGATGCGTTGACGACAGTTTGGAGCTGGTAGTTGACATGGTCCTTGATATGTGAATCAGCCGGTAGTGTTAGGTTGTATACATCTATTACCATCAAGTCTTCCAGGTTGCCGTGAATCGTGCCACCGTTATCCTACGGGGGGAGGGGGTGCCCGGCGATCAGTACACTGTTAGCATAATGCTTAATAATGAGAGGAACTCGGAGTTTTTTTTTAATTACACACTTTTGTGTGATGAACATCAGACGGGGTGGAACCCCAAAATCACGAGGACCTGATGTTCAGTGATGGAAACCGGTAACCTAAGTCCTGGGATTTGGAGTGGTAAACCACATAAGGCCCCGATAGGTTAAATGTGGTATTGAACCGGACGACAGTAGAGCTGCCGAGTTGTCAGTCGGTCTGCTTTGCTATAGCCAAATGGTGCTCTCCTAATTAACATCATATCTTTGAAGGCCGGTGAGTCGCACCTCTGATAGGCATGCTATCTATTTTTTGTGGTTGTACAGGTACAGTACACCAATGCGCAAGCTGCCCGTATCCATGGGATTTCTGACGTACCGATAAGCATCGTAAAGATACTCTGTTTTCCGCTCTCCCGTATATCGTATTCGATAACCTGGTCACTGCATCACTTACCAGGGACGCTGTAATATGTACGCAAGTCCCAGTCGTATCAGGGGCCATGCGGTGTCTTGAGAATGTAGTATGAAATGTGATCTTTTGGATTATTCGGCTTTTGTCCGAGGATGAACATTTCTAACTTGCACATTGAAAAACGAACTGCAGGGCAGCATAGTCGTATGGATATTTGACAGCCCGGGGACCACATCTGTGGTTCATAATGCGCACCCTGTTGTTGTATCGAAGAAAACCATAGGCACACATGCGAAAACCAAAGCAAGACCAGAAAACGTACGCAGTGACCTACGGGTTCAACCAGCAACAACAGTCCACATTAAAACACTAAGTACCGAATTCGGCAAACAAAATATGTTTCGGGATATACCAACTCAGTCCCTACTCACTGTGACATATCAAGCTCTATCCTGGAACAGCATTACGCTCGTTATTTGGCCACTTGTGTTGCTTAATTCTAAAGTTGCAATGAATGATGCGCACTCAGCATCATTTTGCGTTTCATTATTTTTCAACAAGGAATCGTCTTTTGAGCAGCTCTGATCCGTACAAAAAGCCACTTTCTGAGGTTATAGCAACGATTAGATCAGTCAATTATTCATGGCACTATCACATTTTGCCTTACTTGCTGGCTCTATGTGCTCATTTTTATTGACCCAATTAGGGGTTATAATTTCCTGCACTGTCACGTGTCTGCAACTTTCAACTGTGGATAAAAACTTTGTTTGCATGTTTTGCTGTTGGTGTTGTCTATCCTCATGGTGTGAGATAGCTTATTTGTGCTTTACGTGTGGGTGGTAGGTAGTAATATTGCCATCTCTGAGTGTGCTTCGTTTTTGTTGTGACTGAACAACCAATCTATTGTGCAGTGTGCTTACACGCGTGCGCCCACGCCCGTGTGTGTACCTATCGTCAGATTACACAATCACCCAAGTCTGGTTTTTGTTCCACCGCGACTCGTTCATTCCATATTCGTTGAGCTGAATCTTTAGCACTCTGAAAGTTTGCACTATATTGTGCATAAACAGATTGTTTTGATCCTGTGCAGTGTCGCATGAGTGTTTCACACATACTTGCATTAATTGCGTCAACTCTGTATCATCATATGATCCCCACCTTATTCTCTCTTTCTTCATTCCACCTTTCCGTACTACCACTGCTACTTCTACAGTTGTCCCTATGCTCATCGAAATGCGGGTGACACAGAACGTCGCTATCATCCACGCTACTTCAAAACAGGCAATTGTATCTACGAGACGACCGAAAATGGAGCATGCGTGAAGAATGGATTACACTGTGCGTTCGCTCACGGTCCGGACGATGTTCGACTGCCCGTGTATGATATTCGTGAAGTGCAAGATGCCTCTTCCAAGTTTACCGTCAACTTGCCAGCCAGTTTGGAAAAGGAGCGTGTATTGAGCGAAGATCCGAAATGGAATGGTGAGTTTCTTGTTCAAGATCTGTGTCTCATTGTTTCTTATTGCGTACGCTATTCGCCTGGTTTGATAAATGGCCGCCTCATTAGTCAGTTTCATATTGTGAATTCACAAGTAGTAGTACTACGTTTCACTCATTTTCTCTCATTTGACAATAGGCCAATTTGATGGTTGAGTTCATGGGGAATCTTCGAAGTGCAGTGCGCTATCGCATCTCCAGTACCCCGGGGGATTTTCTTCCAGGGTGTACCTTTTAAACCAAAGTGCCACAGGACAGGACAACAGTGTGATGGCAATGATGCTTTTCTAATAGTCGGTCTTTATACATGTGTACGCATCCGAATTGCCATATTCTATTCTAAATTTAGAGATAGCAGTGAATTCTTATTCAAGACCAACCAAAATTGAATTATGCAGACTATTTTCCTTCATCCGAGTTCTTCATTTTTTGTTGTTGTACAAACGGATGTGTTCAAACAGCGCTGTGATTCGAATCTAATCATTTTCCCACCTCACTCCCCCCTTGTTTCTATTTGCTCGTCCAGAAATGTTTCACGTGTTGGCATGTTACAAAACGGAATTGTGCAAGAAGCCTCCACGAATGTGTCGCCAGGGCTATTCCTGTCCGTTCTATCACAACGGGAAAGATAAGCGTCGTGCACCGGACAAATGGCGATATCGAAGTACCCCGTGCCCAGTTGTACGGCCTGGTGATGAATGGCTGGACAGTGGGCTGTGCGAGGCCGGAGATACGTGTACTTATTGCCACACCCGAACGGAGCAACAATTTCATCCGGAGGTGTGTTGTTGTGGTTTACCTGTTTGTCTCAATCGGTTTTACAGCATGGTGTTTATCATTTGTCTCATATGAACATTGCTAGTATGAAACCGCAACATCAGCTTTTGAGTCTAGTATTATAATTGTGTAGTTGGGCCAGTTGTTCGGAAATGCGTACTCATATGTTTCCCTTCTTAACAGCACTTTCATTCGCACGGTGCTGTATGGACGAGCGCAGAAACCTATGTGGGTGCATAATGCTGCGAACGATCGGTTGTACTATATTTTGTGCAGTCTTTCTCTGTTATATTCATTGATCACCTGATGTGGCACTGTGTTACCAAAATGTTTACAGTTTGGTGGATAACCAGTGTGCTTTTCACAAGTGTTAGCTGTTGTTTAAATATTTAACTATGTTCAAATTTTTGTATGACTCACATTTGACTGGGGAAATCTGATGATTGTTTACACGATCCGTTTGATGTGATTTTTAACGAGACATACTTCTTTGTTTATGCAAACGGTACAATCGTGAGTTGATTCAATGATCAGATTGGTCATCGTTTGACTAGTGAATCAGCCCAAATATGATGCGTGTTGCGCAAGTTAAGCTTCTATTTTTGTCAGTTGGTCTTGTAGGTTAATTAAGTTACGTAAGGGTTTCACGGTAATCCCAGATCATAGGCGTTGAATTTTGATAACCAGGTGGATTGTGCAACTGGTGCTTGCAACTTTTGTGAATTCCTATCTATAATGCTAATGATTTTGAATAAGATTCTATCTGCCAAGTTCTGTCACTGACACTCAAAAACTAGCCACCTTGGAGAACACACGAAGTGTCTTAAAAGGGCTTGGCTACCGTTCAATTTTCTTCATGTAGTTTTTATTTTTAATTTTTTCTCTCGATTAATATGTTATCAAATCTAACTAGTACGTGATAGCTGTGGTCTTTACTGTTTTCCTTCCTCTCACCTTCAGATATATAAATCCACAAAGTGCAATGATGTCATCAATTCGGGTTACTGTCCACGTGGTCCTTTTTGTGCATTTGCTCATTGTGATACGGAAATTTCCACCGGACGCGACTTCCTGGCCAAATTGCAACAAGATCAGCTCAATTCGGGTGGTGGAAGTGAGTTGTCTATATAGACTATAGTGATTTTCTTAGTTTTGTTCGTTTGATGATGATTACCGTCATCATCATAATGGTGATGAACATTTTTTATTTTATGTTGTGCGGCTATCAAACCGACCTGTTAGCGTTATGATTGTGGTTGTTTATTACCTGTCCAGAACTGTATCTGAAAACAAGTCTGGAGTAGCGATTCAAAAGATTGAGCAATTTTCACGAGAAGTCTAACGAGTTGGAGTGGCGCGAGAGAAAATAAGAATAATGCAACCGGATGATCCCATCATATATACCAAAATATAAACAAATCTAATTACACATCGAGTACTTGTTTATACCTTCAGCTCATCGGTGGACGAAACAGCCCGGTCAGTATCTGTTTTCACACCGATCGCCGATCACCTGATAAGCCCGATTCTCTACCAAGTAGTCATTACTGGTGTAATTGGTCTGAATCCTTAAGTTAGCTCCGCCAGTCAGTCATAAACAACAATCCATGATAACTGGCAACGCACCAAGATGATGATGTAACTGAACAAACACGGAAGTAGAGACATGAAAACGGAATTTGAACCACATGATCCTAATTGTAGACAGCTAGTGTGGAAGCATTGTGTTTATGATGTCCCAGCCACACGTAGAACATACAGATGAATCAGGAGATCACCTCGGATGCTCAGTTATGTGATTATAAACCTCGTGAAAAATTTTCATACCCCTCCTGTTGGTTTACACAGCATGCGCTTTTGAGAGTAACCATTTTTAGATTTTATTACAATGGTCAAGTAAAATGCGAAAATACGAAATTTTAATTTTGTCATGTCAAATCAATCTATGACAAAAATATCTTACCTCCTATGGTTCTGATAAAGGAAATAAGTATGGCGTACCCTTAGTACGTTTTTGGACATACCCGGAACTACTCTTCTGCATCAGACTACGTGAACGAACTAGTCCATACCGGTGAAACTCGACGCTTAAATGGTGAACATTTTCTTGGCTGAGATGTCTTTTTCATCACGCTGACTTAAGACTTAAGATCCATACAATAAGAGCAGTGAACATATCCTAGTATCTGTTCATTAGCATAGGTTGAAACGAAAACATGTATAATTAAGAGATGCATGTTATCCCTAAGCGAACGGAATCGGTTCTTCTTTGATTGGATAATGAATACCTCCTTAGGTTGGTGTGAAGACATTGATCGTACTCCGTCTTTGATTAGGATTGGACTAACGTTTTACTGTCACGGCTGTGTATGTGTGTGGTAATCTCACTTCTAATTGCACAGAAGCAGAAAAACCGATATTTGAACTGAATATTACACTTTGTTTGAACGAAGGTCATCAGATGGATGAAGAATTGTTCGATTATTTTATTCTCTTGAATTCTAAGTGTATTTGAAATTGGCAGTACTTAACACGTTTTAAGCACCAAGGGTCAAGGTCACCATATTTATCATTAAACCTAATGTTCATCATTTTCTAAAGTCTTCTGTTCGGAGATGCACGCGTTGTGTCCCATCAAATACCAGTTATTTGGTTCCAACAGACTTTAGCTAGCCAAAGGCTTCAGTTATGAGCTCCCTAAGAAAATTCACCTACTTTGGCTTGGGCAACCTAGCGCTCGAGCAAATCATGGACCTTTTTTTCTTTTTTATAAAGATTATCGTACCGTGATTTGTTTGGCACATAGTCTGAACTCAGGCGTATGTGAAAATATAAATATAATTTACTCAGTTGATTCGATGCTTTACCACAACCGATTGGCGTTGTGTCTCGTTTTACTACTGATTCCTCCCCATGTCTCACATGTTTTGCGTCTCTGGTTGAGAGTATTAACGTTGCACCAAATTGAGGTTGTAAGTATGTAGTGAACGCTGTGGTGTTGAGTGTTCATGCAGATTTCCATGATGCTTCTCGTGGTTTTATTCAGCTTTAATTCATGATTTTTTAGCTAACATTATTCGTTTTTCAAACATTCACCCATCCTCTCTTAGTCTTCCGTCATGTTGTTTTATCATGTCGTCATGGAGTTCTATCCTTGCTCGCTGCTAGGCTGTGAACGCGATCTCGCTGCGTCCACGGCGTAGGTACATGAGCGGAAACCCAGATTTCCTTATTCGGTTTTTAATCGAGACTATTTTTACTTAGTGCTCTTTGTGACTGATAAGCTTTTTCCCGGCGGGGTAGTTCAGTTATGAGAAATAGTCTTTCTGACTGACATAGAATTGAAAATCGGTTCTCGTAGCTCAGGTGAATTGAATTCCACTTCTCGTGTTTGCCGAGCTTGGCAATTTGTTTGCAAACGTTTCATCACCAGCCCAGGTGACATCATCAGTGCTTGTGAAGTGGCAGTCTTCTGCTTGTATCCGTTCGTTTATATATGTGTTCTTCTCCACCGACCATTGTTGTCCCTTGTTCTCATTGTGTTCGACTCGGTTCGCCGTTAAACTGGTGCGTGAGGATGAGGTTGGTGGGGGAGGTGGTTGTCCATCCGTCCTGATTGCGGCTTCGGCCCGTTCTCAGGTCACGGAGTGACCTTTTTTGTTACGTCATTTTATCCATAGGTTGCATTGGCGTGTACACGTGATCCAGTTCAATGTGCCTGTTGATTGGTTGATTGAGGGGTGCCAAGCTTCGAGAAATTCTCTGGCGTGTTTTGACCGGGCTTAGTCGATAATTTTCACCGAAGAGAAGTCAAACTGATGTCCCTCTTGATCTTCGTGGAGGGAAATCAAAGATAGTGGATCATGTCTCCTGATTGCCGCTTGGTGTTCACGGGTCCTTGTTGACAGTTTTCTCCCAGTTTGTCCGATATTGTGTATTGAGCAGTTCTTGCAGTTTACTTTGTAGATGAAGCTGCTCTTATTCTTCTCCACTGTTCTCTCCTTTGGTTTTGACAGAAGTCTCCTTAGGTAGGTGGTAGGTTTTTGGGCGACTTGGATTCCATATGATTTGAGCTGTCTTGCCGTCATTTCCGAAACGTCCTTGATGTACGGCAGGGTAGTTCATGTTCCCGATTCCCCGTTTGTTGTTTGTTTCTCTCTTTGGTTTAGAGTTCTTTTAATGAAGTTGCGGGTGTAGCTTTTGCGAGCAAATACTCTGAGGAGATATCGTTCTTCTTTCTTGAGTATGTCGGTGCTGCAGTGCGTTTGGATTCTTCTGAACAAGGTTCTAACACAGCATCTTTTGTGGCTGTGTGTATGATTACTTTTGAAGTTTAGAATTTGATCCGTATGCGTTTCTTTGCGGTAGACCGTTGTCTCCAGTTTTCCTGATGGCGTTCTGATGATCCAAATATCCAAAAAGGCCGGTTGTTTATCCTTCTCCGTCTTCATTGTGAACGTGATGTCATTTATGTGTTATTGATGAAGTTGTGTGTTAAAAAGAAACACTCTATATCGGACAAACTGGGAGAAAACTGTCAACAAGGACCCGTGAACACCAAGCGGCAATCAGGAGACATGATCCACTATCTTTGATTTCCCTCCACGAAGATCAAGAGGGACATCAGTTTGACTTCTCTTCGGTGAAAATTATCGACTAAGCCCGGTCAAAACACGCCAGAGAATTTCTCGAAGCTTGGCACCCCTCAATCAACCAATCAACAGGCACATTGAACTGGATCACGTGTACACGCCAATGCAACCTATGGATAAAATGACGTAACAAAAAAGGTCACTCCGTGACCTGAGAACGGGCCGAAGCCGCAATCAGGACGGATGGACAACCACCTCCCCCACCNGTGATGAAACGTTTGCAAACAAATTGCCAAGTTCGGCGAACAGGCGAAATAGATGTCTTTCTGACTGCATTAAAGTACAGTCTGGTTGCCGGTACTTGCCTTTCCGTTATTTATTTATCCAGTTGCCAGCACAGCTTCAGATGCATAAATCATGGGTAGCTAAAGTACCTCTAGTGGAAACTGAATAACCTCGGAAAACCCTACAGGATGTGCAACAATTTTTTTCTTCCGTG